CAAGGATATAAGCTGTATGGGTTGAGCAGCGGGAGTAGAACACACTATAGCAATGCACAGGATGGGGATGAGAACACCTCAGAGTTTACTTTTGGACAATTTAGTCCAAAAGTAAATTCTTTGCATTTGAATTCAAAGTTCAAGTGTTCGATTCTATCAACTGTGTAGTGTTCTTTTGTGCTTTGCTTCTTTCTGTTCTATCCTTATCTCTCTCTCTCTCTCTCTCGCAATTACCGAGACCGACATTATCTATGGTACACTGGTTATATGAGATGGTTCTAAGCTTATAACTTTCATACTATATGAGCCGGCGGGGTCAATCAATAGTCATTTTACTACTTTACTTGGAATCGAAGAAATCTCAGAAGTATGGATGTTAGTAAAGGAGACTCATCGATGTACAGTGCAATAACAAATGATTTTTCGAAAACTTCTCGGCCATCACGTTTGAGTTTCTAATCGTACAACACATTATAAAACAAGCAAGAACAAGGGCAGAGTCATTATGCCTGATTTCCGTCAATCAGTGCATGATAATTGTTTCGACGCACAAGAAAAAGTCTTGGTTATATTGGAAAAAAAGGAGAGAGTATATGAGCATGTCTTTTTACTAACTCTTCGAGATTGCTAGTTTCTCATGCAATCTTTCAATCATCCGCCCACACTCGTGCATGTCTTGATGTTTCGATCTCTTTGCAATTTCATAGGCTACAGTTACATTTTCTAATGCTTTCAGGTAGTTCTCTTGAGCCTCATACACTCATCCAATGTTTGAGTATATCACTGCTAGTGAAGGATGTGCTGGTGGTAATGAACTCAGACGTATCTTCAGTGTCATATGATAATATTTCAGCGCTTGTGCATACTCATATCCAACAGAATGCACTGTATCAATGTTGTCATATCTAGTCGCCAACAATGGATGATTCGCAGGAAGAATTGCTTTCCGAATATTCAAACATTTTCGATAGTAGTCTAGAGTCTTAGCATACTCCTTCTCTTTGTACACCATTCCAATACTGTTGTACGTTATCGCAAGGGATGGATCATCTGACGAAAGAGATTTATCTTTTATTTTCAGTGCCTTCTCGATGTTCATCAGTGCGTGATCCGAATCACCCTTACCTCTGTAAGCATTGCCAATGTTGTTATATGTTACTATTCATTGTTGCCTCTTTCCCAATAACTAGTTCCAAGTTGGTTATAAATAGTTGCAACATCAAGCTCGCTCTCACAACTGCTATTCATTTCAAAACAGAAGATGAGTGAAAAAAACTGTACTAACTCCGAAACAGAAGGTGCTAGCGGGAAGTGTTTGTTTGCATTCAAAAGAGGACCCTGTGGCACGTTGAAAACTTACGAAGAAGAAATTATTTTTTAAAGAAATTATTTTTTAAAATACATCCAAAGTACAGTTGTCTTTACAAGTAAGACGGCAGCTTTGAATTGCTTTCGTTGGATTTTCCAATGATGGAACTAACTTTAAATGAGCGTAATAAATTGATCTTGCAACACCCGTTAATATTCTTTCATTTGGTGTACGTTGTTTGGCCAAAAAGATTTCAATTGACGAATAGGAATAACGAATTTAGACATCTTGATCGATTTCTGACGTTTTTTCCAACCATTTTGGTACCAAATGCATTGAACAGTCACCCTGGATTTTATCGTACAAATGCGGACGATTCTGTTTTAGACGATCAAGAAACGATTACATATCGTACGCCCAAAACAGTAATTGAAACGATGGAACGTTGTCAATTTCTAAATTAAAAAGCGGCTGACAAAAAGCAAAACAAGGACGAAACCGTGATGTTTTTTTACAGATAAGCAGTAATCAAACAGAAACAGCTCTGGTGATGGGTGCCTCGAACCATCCTTGGTCAACTGACGATGCATTTTTAAGACGATTCGGAAATCGAATTTCTACCATTACTAAATAAAGATCCCAGAAAACAATTGCTACGAATTAATTCAAAACATCTGCCACTCGATGAAGATGTTAAATTAGATGATATATCTGAGCACTTAAGCGGATATTCTGGAGCAAATATTTGCAATGTTTATCGGTATGCAACTTTTTGTTATTAATTTTCATTCTCTTTGTGATTCTTCCTTTGTTATTAGCGATGCGGCGTTCATGATAATTCGTGAGCGTACAGATAATTTAACTGTCACAGAAATTCAATAAAGCGCCAATTCAATTCGTCCTCAAGTACAACAGCCACTGAAACACCAACATTTCATATATGCAATTGAGAAGGTTAAGCCAAGCATTGTGAAAGATGTTGAGCGTTACGCAATTTGGTCATCTCAATTTGGTGGTCTATGTAAGTTGTTGTAGTAATATTTGAGCTCTATCTTAAAATATATCATATGAACATATTAAAATTACTTTGAAGTCTTTCTTCTATTTTCTTTAAGCGTATTTTTAATTGTTTTCTTTACACATTTGGACATAAAATCAAGCAGTAAAGTCGAAAATCTTCTTTATCGTTACAGTCAATCACAAAATTCATGTGCTTCTGGACAATTCCTGACACGTATGCATTTGAGAAAAAGCTTCTTTAGGGTGCACTGCTTGATTTAAAATTTGACGAGTGAATAGACTCAGTGAAATATTGTAATACGAAATATATAGATTAAAAGAAAATCGATGTACGAATATTCATTGATATCGGAGAGATATCGCATCATAATTTATTCAATACGCAATTTATTCCACGCTTTTCGTGGTGATATTACTTCTTTTTTCGAATCTGAAAGGCGTAGTACCGTGATAATAGTACTGGCATTGTTAATGTTGAATTTTAGGAATTCCTCAGCAGCATAAAGTGTAACATCATATGGATTTGTTTCTGTAAAAACCCATTGGTGGGTGCCTTCTACTTTTTTTGATGATCTGTATCCGATCGGCTTCATTTGTAATTAAAAGTTGCCCAATCAGCTCATAATAGACAGTAATAGTGTGTGTGAAATGGTGACGTAAAGACGTAGGGATTCTCTACACCTCTATGTGTTTACGCTTTTGCTTCTCTAGTGGAGGAGTGAAGCGAAAAGTCTGCCAAATTTCTAGTCTGTCTGAAGTTTTTCGCTCTAAATTCGACACTGTCGAAAGGCTGCCGAATTTTCATTGAAAAATTTCAAAAAGACATAAGAGAGTAATGACGTAAAAGCGCAGGCGGAGGGGACAGGGCGTAGGAATTGCCAACATCTCTATGTGTTTACGCTTTTGCTTCTCTGTTAGAGAAGTGAAACGAAAAATCTGTCGAATTTCCAGTCGGTTGGAAATTTTTCGGTAGAAATTCAACAGTGTCGAAAGTTGTCTGTAGAACTGTCGAACGGCGACAAATTCGAATGAAAATGGACTTGTTGTTGTTGTGGCTAGCGAGAGTGTATGCAATAGGCAGAAAGCATATTTATTGGCAAGTCTATCCCGAAAATTTGATGAAGTTCTGATGTAAAAAGAGTGAGATATCTCTGTCTGAAGTTTAGGAGCGCGTAGGCAAATGCTCGGTTTTTAAAGAAATGACTCTAGCGAACTTTGTTCAACTTTTGTAGAAAACTAAAGATTGCCACAATGTTCAGGGTACGCGATTATCTATGTCTCGAGTCTTTTTGAAGTCTCTAGACTTGCACGGACCGAGATAGCATGGTCGTCGGAGAACCTTTCTAGCTCAGCAACCTAGAAAGTTGCAGATCTGAGACACGTTTAGAACTGACTGGCATCTACTGAACATCTCAGAATTCAAAATCCGAAACTTTTTTAGTGATGAGTAACCTTCTGCAAAATGTCCTGAACAGGCTTACCGCTTGCAGGTGATATTTTTGCTAATGTTGTTTCGTAGGAATATAGCCCCATCAATTTACTTTCCAATAGTGAAAGCCGCAGCTCTCTAACTCTTTGCTGTCAAAAGTTATTAGACAAACAACGGACTATCTTATATTTTGAAATGGATAGTAGTTTTATTTATAAATTGCTGAGGAATTATTGGTGTGAATTCTTTTGAATGAAAGAGGGACAATATTTGCTATAATATACAATTGTAAAATACAAATAAGTAGCTTGTACGATATCGCACCTTGCTGAGTCCGAGTAGCTACGAACTGAATCGAACTGCACTCTATTACATTAATTAACAAGCACAATCAATATTATAACGCACTTACGTGCTATCAACAGCTATGTGTGAAGTCTGTTGTCAGACATGATTTTGATTACTTATAAACAGAAAATTTTTTTTTCTAGTGTTCTATTAAAAGTTTTTCTCCTTTGTTTCGTGCGTTGCGTTTTATAGCAATAAAACAGAAAGAAGAAAAAAGGTCTATTTAAACGAATTCATTTGTGTATGTGTACGTCCATGCGTATAAAATTTTAGAGTAAACAAGATCCCTTACAGAATGATGAAAACAAATCAAAATTAAAGGTTTGTTATAAATTATACTTTCATATGTATTCAAACTCGCAAACGTCAAGTATATATATAAAGTGGCCGCACGTTACATTAAAACAATAACAATATGTTAGTAAATACATGTATAATGCCAATTTATCTAACATTTTAGATTTATCAATTATTTCAAGTACAAACAGTCGAACACTTGGAACTCATGAACAAAGAATCATCAAGAAGAAAATCAGTAAATAGGTTGAACTTTGAAAGGAGACAGTCTAAACAATATTTAACGGAAGCAGCCACAACTGACCAATAAAAAAGAAAAAAACAATTTATTGAGCCATTTTCAAGAGAACTATACAATTAAAACTTTTGAATTTAATTTTATTAAACTCAAATTAAAATTAAAGTTTCAATTAAAGTTTTAATTGTATATTGTTGTTGGAAATGGCTCTGAGAAGAGACCAAAACGTCGAGTTTATCCAGAGATGCGCGATTACAATTGCAAAACATAAAGTGAAACCCAGCTACTATTCCGAGAATTCAGAATTTTAGAATTCTGAAGTTCACATGTTAAGAATTCTAAAATTCTCAATTCTAGGGATGAGGGTAAGGGTGAGTGTGCAACTTTACATGCATAGAAGAATTCCGAACCTGTACAGTTGAACTTTATATGTGTATAAAGTTTAGAATTTTGAAATTCTGAATTCCTAGAATAATAGCAATGTTCGAACTTTTCATTTTGTAAATGTAATCGTGCAGCCCCCATCTAATACAGAATAAATAGTTTTTTTCTTCTTTATTGATCAGTTATGACTACTTCTATTAAATATTGTTTCTTTTGATTATTGACCCTAAAATCGTTTAATTAGAAATAATCTAGTTGTGTATAAAATGAATCAATCTTTTAGTCGAAGAAAGATGAAAAATATTGTTCCAGATCTTCTGCAATCAAAACAAGAAATAAAAAGCATCAGGTTGTATAAGAATTTCTTAAGAATTATTTCACAATGGATTATAGTTTCCAGGGGATTATGTCAAATACTGATCCTTCAGAGTACTCCATCTTTTCTGCCTTTGTAGAAAACGTGGAGCAAGGGTGCAGCCGAGTTCACATTAGAACATGGAAAAAGAAAAGTGATGTATTTTTGCCGAACATGTTTTTGCTAATAGTTTCCTGAGAAACCTAGATTTATACAAACGGTATCGTCACGATCAACGGTTTATCTCACGTACTTGAGACCATATTTCAGAATGCAAATCTTTGTTATTCTGGTGCTTTCTTTGCGAGTCATGATAGTTCCAACATCAAAAAGTCGAGATTTCACTGCGCATTTTTACTAATTTTTAATCTATCGAGAAGAAGAAACATGAAACGAGAACATAACTTTGTATTCTAAGGTATGGTCTCATGTATTTGTAAGTAGCAAAAATACGTTCTTTTTCCATGTTCGATCTTTGCAAGGCATTTGAACTTAACTAGACCAATGCTACGAAAAAAGGCGAAAAGAAGGGGTGGTGCTCTTAAATACCGGAGTGGTAAAGTATATGTTTTTTCCGTTTAGAAATTTCCATCATGTAGTGTTACAATAAAATATTGTGGTTTAATTAAATCGGAAGATAAGGGGCAACGACGTTTTAAAGATCAAATTATAGTTGTACAACAAGGAAAGCATCATTTTTCATTTATTTGTAAAGGACCGGTGAATTTTAGAGGTATTCATAGCTAAGACATGCAAAACTTATAAACAAAAAAATTTGATTTAGATACATTTCAATTTCAATCTCATCCTCGTTCTGATGACAAACCATTTACGTTTGTTTTCTATGTTAATGGTCTAATTGCTGCACGACTACCAATGTGTTGTGAATACAAGTATCGTAATGGAATAACAATCGACGGAAAATATGAACAATTTGCAATTCAGAACATTAGCGGAACAAAGCCGTGTCAAAAGTAATAATGAAAGTCTTGTTTAATAATTGATTATATATTGTTCGTTTATAACTTTGTAGATGTAAAATGGGTAGTGAAGAATCAGCAAAATCTTAATCCATCACTTATCCATTAATATGACAACGCTCTTTACTTCTGTTTCAACTTTCTGTCTGCTTTTAAAACCTATTTGTATCCTCCTTCGCAATAGCTAATCGATCTCGAATGTGTGCAACTCTCAAATACATACAATAATACCATGTTTGAAGCATAAACTCAATACATGAACATAAGTATGAACAAAAGAGATTTCGATTAACTCTATTTTAAAAAAATAGCTAATGATTTTTTATTCTTTTTTGTGTCTAGAAGGAGTCTCTCTAACTATATAATCAGAAAGTTTACTGTTTTCTGCGAAATACTTTTGCTGCTGATCACGAATCTAACGTCTACGTATGCTCATAGATCTTTATTGAGTAGGAAACTAACAGCAAAATAAACACGATATATCCCGTTCTCGTTAATTTCCTGATGGTTGTATGGTCACACTGGTCATCTTTAAATACTATTTGCCCGAAAATGAAAAGAAGTTAATCACTGCAAACAAAACTGCTGTGCACAGTTTAAAAAGTATTG